CTGCACCTAGTGGGGGATGTCTCCCAGTTAGGCTACTCAGGGATCAGGGACCCACTTGAGCAGGCAGTCTGTCCATTCTCAGATCTCAGCCTCCGTGCTGGGAGAACCACTGCTCTCTTCAAAGCTGTCATACAGGGGCATTTACCTCTGCCGAGGTTTCTACTGCTTTTTGTTTCACCATGCCCTGTGTCCAGAGGAGGAGTCTACAGAGACAGGCCAGCCTCCTTGAGCTGTGGTGTGCTCCACCCAATTCGAGCTTCCCTGTGGCTTTGTGTACCTACTTAAGCCTCAGCAATGGTGGGCGCTCCTCCCCCAGCCCGGCTGCTGCCTTGCAGTTAGATCTCAGACTGCTGTGCTAGCAATGAGGGAGGCTCTGTGGGCGGGGGACCCTCTGGGCCAGGTGTGGGATATAATCTCCTTATGTGCCGTTTGCTAAGACCCTTGGTAAAGCACAGTATTATGGTGGGAGTTACCCGATTTTCCTGGTGTTGTGTGTCTCAATTTCCTTTGGCTAGAAAAAGGAATTCCCTTCCCCCTTGCGCTCCCCAGGTGAGGTGATGCCTCGCCCTGCTTCAGCTCTCTCTGATCAGGCTGCACCCGCAGACCAGCGCCAATTGTCTGACACGCCCCAGTGAGATGAACCCAGTACCTCAGTTGAAAATGCAGAAATCCCCCGTCTTCTGTGTCACTCATGCTGGGAGCTGGAGACTGGAGCTGTTCCTATTCGACCATCTTGGGAGCGCCCCCTCCCGCCCAAGGAATTTGTTTTTAATTAGTCACATGCTAAAGTTAGTTTGGCTAAGTAAATGTTTTCCTAGGGTTAGAAGATTTCTATAATTTCAGTTTCCCTTTTGTTTGCAGATCAAGTAGTTTAAATGACCCAGTAAATAATTTGGAGTCACCACAGTTAATTCATCAACTTTGAAAATCCTTGAACCAAGAGGCCCCTTGATACTGTAAGGGAAGGCTACCATAATTAATAGCATAAGTCTAACCGGGGTACCATACCTTTCCCTATATTGCTGGATATTCTGTAAGCTTGGCTTTCCCAAATCAGGAAACAGAGATAAGGGTAAGCTCACTTTCCAGCTATTTTGTTATGTCTTTTTTATTTCTTTCATCTTTTGGAAATGACCTTATGAATTTCTTCTTATTATGAAACACATCTTTATTAAAAACTGGAGTCCAAACATTACAAAAAAATATGTAGCATAGAAAGTGAAATGAAATACTACATAACCAATGTAAATGATTAGATGACTCTTCTTTCAGATTACATTCCTAAGCATTTTCTTAAAAAATTATCAATATTTTTATTTTAATGAATATAGGATCATGCCCTACATATTCTTTTGTAATTTGCTTTTGCCATGTAATAATATGGCCTGCAGGCTGTAATGATAGACTTGTTTGTTGCAAAACAATCCATTAGCCAAGAGCAACTCGAAAAGTCTGACAAAATATTCGACTGATTTGGTTTGAAGGCATTAGAGAGCTACCATGTCAGCAAGGACTTGAGGGGCTAATATTTTTGAGAAAAGGGAAGTACAAAGAGGTGTGCTCAACATTCAGTCTGCTTTGCTCTCAAGGTCTTTAGCTGATTCACAAGTAGTGGCTGAGAGCAGAGAAGCTGAGCTAGGCTTCTTGCAGTCTTATCATACTGAGGGAAAAAATTAGAATTCAGAGCCCTATAAGGAAAAGAGTCCGTGATAAGCATCCCAAGGTTTTAGTTGACATCCACCAAGGGCTGTACCCTAGAACGTAGGGGTGAACCAGAAATAGACCAACCCTCACAAAGAACAAAGTCTAGCTTTGATTAAACATTATCCCTGATTGGATTAGGTGATCTGCCTCTATGCTAACCATTTACTAAAAATAAAAATGAATCTTCTTTGAAAGAAAATAAAATTACCAAGAGGCTCAAATTATCTTAATCTTATGTACACATCTGGCATCTAATTTCAAACTACCAGTCATTTAAGGAGACAAGACCACATGATTGAAGAAATAGATGAGAGGGACGGACCCTAAGAGTGTCTGGATATTGGAGTTACTAGACATAGACTTTAAAATAACCGTGATTACGTGGTCATTCTCCACTCACATTACTCAAGAGATACTTAGTACATGAACTTGGCACATGAGCTGTGTATATAATACTCCTTCAACAAATATTTAATGATATGAACTGATAATACAAAATAATGGTACTAATATATTTGCAATTTTAACCCTAAGTAATGTATGGGCAATTGGAGTTTCAGAACACCCTATTAAGTCTTATTGTCTGAGGGCTCCATTAAGTCACCTCAGGTACCTTGAGATGATTTAATGGAGCCCACAGGCACTAAGTTACATGGAGAAAGTCACTCTCTTTTCTGTTTTTCTTTTTAAGAGAAGGTTCTCACTCTGTTGTCCAGACTGTAGTGCAGTAGTGCAATCATAGCTCACTGCAGCCTCAAACTCCTGGGCTCAAGTGATCCTCCTGCCTCAACCTCTTGAGTAGCTGGGACTACAGGCATGCACCATCATATCCAACTAAGTTTCTAAGAAAAATTTTGTAAAGACAGGCTCTCACTATGTTGTCCAAGCTAGTCTTCAACTCCTGGCCTCAAGTGATCCTCCTACCTTGGCCTCCCAAAGTGCTGGAGTTATAGGTGTGAGATACCTGGCCCCTTTTCTGTTTCCTTTTAGTCCTTCTGATTGTGTCATAGAGGAAATCTCAGCTTGGTGCTAACATGTCTTTTATACCATCCTAAGGCTATTTGATAATTTTTTTTTTTTAATAGAGAAAGATCTCAAGCTTGGTAGTCAATATCTTGGTATCTCTACTCTGGTGTTCTTAAGGAAAATGCTATGGGCTCCTTTGGACATCTGGTGAAGTCTATGAACCCTATATCAAAATAATGCTTGTAAATACTTACGATAAAATACCTAGTATTACAAGATAAAGAATATGTTGAAATAGAGATCCATCCATCATCCTCTTGCCACTACAGTTTGTGATTGTTGTATTTATTTTCATGGTTACTTTCTACTTACGGAAAGTGCAGTCAGTTTCTGTTTATAGCCATGACGTACAATTTGCATTTTAAATACACTTATTTAAATAGGGAAGATGAATTAAGGAAATAAGTAAGTAAAAATAGGAAATATGACAAAGCTAAAAGTGGTGTGCTGTGATTGAATGAAGAATGCAGACTTAACCCAAGAGGTGACTTTAGTAATGGGAATTTCAGGCACCCTTTCAGATCGGGGACTGCACTAAACCAGGCTTGACACAAGCCTCACCTGTCCATCAGTCAATGTCCATTGATTGAGCAGCCCCACCAAGTACCAGACACTCTTCCAGGTATGGGGGCAGGGCATCGAACAAGGCGATTTATTCTCAAGGTGTTTACATTGTAGCAAAAGGATACAGACAACAGGCAGGCCAAAACATTCGATTAAAAGGTAACTTCAGATACCGATTTTTGTCCTGAAGGGCAAAAAGGTGACTAGAAGGGTGACTAGAGAGGTGACTTGGGGTAGGTGTGGGAGAGTAGTAATGGGGTTCGTGGCTTGGCCTGGGGCTGCTTTAGAAAAAGGCCAGGCTCCCACTGCAGCAGTGCCCGGAAAAATGCAGAGACAAGCCAGGATTTCTGGATCATTACCATGAGGAAAGGAATAAATGTGTGTTCTCTTTCAGTTGCTCCTCTTGACACCTGGGTAAATGGCTGTTTACACAGGCAGATCACCCAGCCGCTCCCTCAAAGGTAAACAGCTGCTTCCTGCCTCCCCTGCTAGCACAGATTGGGGCCCTGAAACAGTGTGTACCCAGGCGAAAGAGGAGGTATTCTCCATTAAGGTTTTCATTCATTCGTTCAGGCAAGATTTCTTGAGTGCCTCCTAAAATTCAGGCACCAAGGTAGGTACTGGGAACACAGTAAGGAGCAAGAAAGAGGTCCCTCCTCCCCAACCTCTTTCTCCTCTCCACTTAGAATCCAAGCTAGAAGTGCCTCAGAGTCTCAGGCCACTCCTCTCATGGTACAGATGGAAATATCTGAATCAGAAGAGGCAAAGTGACTTGCCCAAGATCCGGAGCTAGCCCACTTCAAGCAAGTCAGGTCTCAAAACGATGTCAGCTGCTTTCACTGCCTACTACCTCACTTGCTCCATCTTGATCAGTATTTGAATTGACACTTTTTAGTGTATTCTCCATTACTAAACTATTATGGCTTAGGTAAGGAGAAACCAGAGGTCCACCCTACAAGCACACTGAAATGTAATCCAATTCTAAGTCCCTATATTACAACATGGACTATTGTGACTGACCACATTTGCCTTATAGTTACCTTCTTCCGCAAGGTTATGCCCAATTTCAGTTTCCCATGTTGAAAAATAACTATAAAGCCTCCAGTTGGGACAAACATACATTACATTTAAGCATACCTTCCATTTTTTATAATGCATTATATTTTTAATTGTTTCAATCACTGTGAAATTAACAAATGTTCATGAGCACCCACTGTGGGAGCTCACAGTGTGGGAGCTCCGTCCCGGTGGAGGTCTTGGGATTTAATGATAAACCAAAGACAAACATATACTCAATCTGGTCTCTGCCCTCATATCTAGTCTGGGAGGTAAGCATTTGTCAAATAATCACACATATATGATTGTGTATATATGTATAAAACTAAATGCTTTGAGTTGTTTAATTTAAAAAAGATCAAAAAGAGGTTTGCTTTGAGGAATGAGATCAAGGAATAAAAACTAGTCACTTAAAAAATTACATATATAAACATAAATTTACCACCATAATAGATACTTGTGTTAGTTCAGGTCCTCCGTGACGCACACTAAGACGGGAATAAACAGGTAAGGGATTTATTGGGGAAAATGCCTGTGAGTGAAAATTGGAGGTCAAGCACAATGGCTCACGCATGTAATCCCAGCACTTTGGGAGACTGAGGTAAGTAGGCTGCTTGAGTCCAGGAGTTCAAGACGAGCTTGGGAAACACAGCAAAACCCCATCTCTACAAAAAAACATAAAAAATTAGCCAACTATGGTGCCGCATGCCTGTCGTCGCAGCTACTGGGAGGCTGAAGTGGGAGAATCGCTTGAGCCAAGGAGTTCGAGGCTACAGTGAGTCATGATCACGCCACTGCACTCCAGCCTGGCCAACAGACCGAGACCCTGTCTCAAAAATAAATAAATAAACAGAAAAAAAAAAAGAAAAAAGAAAATGGTGGGGGGAGGCTGGAGAAGGCCAGGAAAGCCATCAGACAGGGAAGCAGCTCTGTGAAGAAGAGAGAGGAGGATAGGTGGATGGGTGGTCTTAGATTCAGTGTCATCCTAAGGAAGTTCTGGCAAAGGCACAATTGCCCATCAGAAGAGTCCCACTTTTTCAAGGATGGAACTGGCTTAGTTTTCCTGCTGGGCTTAGCTGTAAGCTGGGAACAGCCACTGGGAAGTGTGGTCTCTGCAGACATGTGGTGATGGATTTGGAGTACAGCAGCTGGGGCCGTTCATCAGAAAGAGATCTATGAATTACATGCTCATTGCCACTGCAATGCTACAATAGAGCAAAACACAATAATAACAAGATAAATTAGCGGGACATGATCTGGTCTAGGACAATGAAGATTGTTTCAGAAAATAGTCTCTTGTCTTACATTCACAAGAGAAAAGTGCAATGTTCCAGAAAAAGAGTGGCAAGTGCAAAGACCCTGTGGCAGAAGGCAACGTGGGATGGCCAAGAAACTGAAAGAAAGCCAGAGCAGCCTAATGGAAAGAATATAGGAGAGAGTGGAATGGGAGGTTGAGAAGTGAGCATTGCTGGGGACCCCTACAAGGCCTTTAAGCAGAGGACATTGTTTTAAACACACATCTAAAACTCACTACTTACACGACAGACATAGGGCACAGGGTGGAGTACTAGGTGTGTGCCTGGGTTTCCAGGTGGCTGAACTGTAGCACGACTGGTGGGACTGAAGGAGTGGAGAGGCTAAGGCCTTGATGTCACCTACTTTTGTTAGGATTAGAACAGAGGTCACAAACTGTTGGACCCCATGGCAAATTTGATTTTCTTTTTTAATTTTAATTTTTTATTTTTTGAGACAGAGTCTCACTCTGTCATACAGGCTAGAGTGCAGTGGCACGATCTCAGCTCGCTGCAGCCTCAACCTCCCTGGCTCAAGCAATGCTCCCCCACCTCAGCCCCCTGAGTAGCTGGGACTACAGGCACACGACACTCCACCCGGCTAATTTATTTTCTTTTTCTTTTTTGTAGAGATGGGGTCTCACCTTGTTGTTCAGGTTGATCTCGAATTCTTGGGCTCAAGCAATCCTCCCATCTTGGCCTCCCAAAGTGCTGGAATTACAGGCATAAGCCACTGCACCCAGCCCTAAAGGTAACTTAAAGATGTGTTTACTTTGACCCAGGCAGTAGTTTTAAAAAGTTTTAATTTGTTGTTCACATTTAAAAATTGGACAATTTCTACATAAAAATCTGAATTACTCGTGTCTCTTAAAAAAATAACATCTAGCAATGGTAGGCCCACATTCCTGCCTGAAAATAATTAGCTGGGAAAGAGTAGGGACTGCCCACTTTAGACATGGTATAAATAGCATGGGAGTTGATCAATAAATATTTGCTGAATGAATGAATACATGAATGAAAAGTCAGAGACCTATAGGTCATCATGGACTGTGGTAAAGGAACCTGTCTGAGCCTGAAAGAGAATGTGATCTAAGATTAAATCCAGGATGTGCTGGTAAATGTTTAACAACCAACTCTTCAGGGAGGAAAAAAAAGTCCCAATTTGTAGTGTTTGCCGATTGTTGTGATGTAAATACTCCCATCATGACCAATTTCAAGCTACCAACGTGCTGACACTGAACTTGGAGTTGGAAGGAGATGAACAGGCATAATCAGGTCTCGTGAGATGGTCCAAGCTGGCCCCAGCACACCACTGTTATATATGAGGCTAGAATTACCACTTAACTGGAATAGCAACTCTCTGGACCATATGCCTGGAACATAGCAGGTGCCGAATAAATGTTTGTTGATCCAGGAACTGACTGTGTTGAAGCCCACAGATGGGAAATCATTAGAGAAGGCAGGTGAGAGTAAAAAGAGGGGCAGAGAACTGGGGGTGAACCATAAGTCAGAGGAATGTTGTACATATTTTCAGATCCCTCACTGGTCAAATGAAGGCAAAGGGTTCGAGCTCTCCAAATTTTTAGAGGGACATGATGTAACTCCATGATATAAGTCAATGATTTTCAACATTAAAAAGTGTAATTATTTTTTCAAACTAAATATTACAAATAAATTCTGAGAAAAGGAAATGTAAGTCTGTTGAGAACCCTGATCCTGTAACTAGTTTAGTCTTCCCTGAAGCCACTTGTAGTAGACTGTTCACATGGGACTCCCCAGTGAACATTTTCTCATATCCACACTCTTGTGAAGGTCCTTCACCTTGAATCTGGACTGGGCCTATGACCTGATTCGACCCATAGAATGCACAGATAAGAATAAGCGGGTTTCTGGCATAAGCTCAAAGAAGGCACAGTGGCTTCCAGAGCCCTGAGCTACTAGTAAGAAAGTCCAGCTACCGTGCTGGGAAGGCCATGGAGAGAGGCCATGGAGAGCTCATAGAGAAAGAGAGGGACCCTGAGACTACATGGAGCAAGGGAGAGGAACACCCATCCATCCCAGTGTCCCAGCTGAGCCCCACTCCAAACCCATCTGCCAACTGAGCACATCTACAAGAGTAACCACCGACAGGCCAGCACAAGCCCAGCCAAGTCCAGTTCAAATTGTAGATTGTAAGCAAATAAAGCAGTTGATGTTTTAAGGTTTTTAGATGATCTTAGAGTTTAGATTATGTTAAATATGTGAGATCCCTAAATAGCCATAAAAAATTGATCTGTACAATGGAGAACTGCACAGCTATTAAAAGAAGAAGGCAAATCCATGTTTACCGACATGAAAAAAA